AAAAAAATTAATGTTTCTGTGACCCTGAAATTTGTGTAAATAGGTATTTGTTACAGAATTATTGTTTACTCGACTCGATATAGCAAAATAGACAGACCGTAAAGGGTCTGCAGTTTAAGGTTATTTCGAACAATAAAAATTTGTTACCTCAATAAATAACCTCTCATAACAACTCGTAATAATTCAAAATACCTCATTACAATTTATAGGTTACGCTGCTTCGTGTCGCGTTTTTTTTGAAAATAGATCTTCAAAATTTCGCGTACAGAAATCTTTTGCCTCGTGTCGATATTTGTAATACGACGAAACGTTGCTCCTGAACATTTACACCAAGAACTGAAAAAATTTCAACAGCTATGAAGTAACATTAATTTTGAATTAGTAAACCGTGTTCCAAAATCCTATATCAATTTATACAAATTCAAATACACGTTGTCGTAACGTACGATCAGTTGACGTTGAATGTCCCATGTAAAATGCAAATAGCGCGTTAGTGTGAGTAAATTGGGGTAGATGATTTTACTAATCGATACGTTTCAACGAACAGTCGTTTAAAAAATTCTATAACTCGACACACATTAATCGTTCTAGTTTATGCTAAAATTCGTAATTGGAAACGACGGATACGAATGGTAACAGGGCATTACGGGGTTTCTCCAAATAAGTATCATAACTGTGAATAGAAGGATACATTGTATCGACGAAAACTTTATCAATTTCACAGGGCTGAAATTGTATTTGTCAATAACACGGCTGCGATGGAAATATCGTATAACTTCCTTGCGACGTGTAATACCGTTATACCGCAAAATGCGGTAATTAAATTTAATAGCGCGAACCTCGCCTCTAGTGTAATTTAAAACGTCCTGCAGTCTCATTGTAAATAATAGGATGCGGCTGAATATGAATGGCTCTTTGTGTCAACATATATTTATTCACCGTTATTACAACATCGCCATGTCGTAACTGTAATAACGGTGTAATTTAGATGGAAAAAGTACGTTCATCTTTAAAAAGAATATGCTACCACGCAAATTGTTTAGATTTGCTGGAGCAAAGAAATACTGGTAAAACTAAATGAAGAAATACAAACAAATACAAAGTACATTCAGGGCTCGGAATTAACCGGCATGAGGATCATGAGGATCACGAGGACTACGCCTCCTGAGTTCCGTCGCGCGCGTCTCGCTCCCTGATAATCACCTAAATACTACACACACGCATATAAAGCAACAGATACATGTGCCTGAGGTGCTTCGAGCCAAAACTGGCGACCACGGGGAGCGAGACGCGCGACGGGAGTCCGGAGGCGTAATCCTCGCGAGCTGAATGTTGCGTGCTGGTTAATTCCGAGCCCTGAACTACATTATTACGTGTGACAAATTTGATAGAAATAGGAAACGTCTAGTGACATGTAAGTGGTTGATAAAATTTCACGAATAAAAACAGAGATTTTGTGAATGATTTTAACATAACATAACACGTAAAACTGCAGACATAAAATCAATAAGCAGAAAATAACGGACCTCTTTACTTCATGAGATGTTCATGGCAACTAGCAATATACATTTGGAGCACTCTCTTCACATCATGCATAAAATACGTACACGCTCTGCCGATCATTTTCCATCGGATTTCCAACGGTTGATGGAAAATTAAAAAATGTAAACAACAATGTACGTACAGTGATTGGTTTCTCCGCGAATACGTTTTGCTCACATGAAAATAGAGTGCTATTATAATAGTATTTTCTTCGACATATTCCTCATTATTACCACAATTGAACAAGATCTACTCGACCGACTGATTTCAAATTAAGTATCATTGACAAAAAAGTTATCGATCTATCCAAAGTTGTCAGTTCTAATGTTTGGCGCATATGTAAATGAATTACGAGCAAATATTTAACAGAAACAAAAATGGCCTCTAAAGTTAGGAATAGGAAACATATCTTATGACACGTCTTGATAATCATTGAAGGAAACTACTCAATATAAAAATTGCTCACCTTTTTGTAAAGAAAAAAATGACGCAAATTAAAGTTTTAAAGATTCGTAGATGGAACGTGTACAACTCGAGTAGCTACATTCTTAGTTAATATTTATTAAATTATTGAATAAATAATAGGGACACTGTACTGTAACAATGTACGATTGACTTCAAATTTGTTTAAAATTATTTATAAATGAGGAAAGATTTGAGTATATACAGAACATTCGACTTCCAGTAGATGAAATGGAAGATGATTTTTCATAACTATAAAGAGGAAAATCATAAATAGTGGATCATAGTGACGCGTGAGACAGATCTATCTTTATTTCTGGTATGGTGCTGACTTGACGACATTGATCAGAACTAAATTCTAAACTAGAAAACTGCAAATCTAAGGAATAAATTTAACTACTTGTATGTCTCATTTCGTTTAAAGAATTCCCTGTTTCATATTGGGGTACAGTACGAGTGGAGTTGAGTGCTCTATTGTTGTTAGACGTTGTTACATATGAAAATGAAGATCAATTCCTTAACTAATTCGTCGGATTTGAGTGATTGTGATTGCAAGGTGAATATAGTTAACAATATATATATATAAGTACTATATTATTATTATTTCATACTATACTTATATATATATAGATATAGATATATACATGCATATACACATATATACAGACTGTTCCGCATTTTTCCGTACATAGTTCAGCAGTGTGCTCTACAAGTAAAAATAAGATTAAAGTGAATATAATAAAAAGTCCATAAATACTTTCTTAACAATTTGTGACAAAAATACAAAATATGATTTAAATGCTGTTAAGTATATCTATAGTCCCCACGCGACAAGAAGACACCTTTGTTCCCTTTTACCAGCTGCCCCACTGCCGCAACTATTGGTCGCTATTGACCGATGTCGATCCTCGTCACCGTTATCGACCAATAGCGATCGATAGCTGCGGCAGTGCGGCAGCTATAAAAAGGGAACAATGGTGCTTTCTTGTCGCGTGATGACTGTATATCTCCATTTAAAAGTCACGCTCGCTTTTGTTAGCGCAAATTCGACATCGACGAGTTATTGAATTTATTATTGATTTCCGTTGCTTGTGATTTTGTCTAATCTCTTCGCAGACGATGTTGATTTTTGTAATTAATTCGCTTCTTGCACATTATCCTTATCATATCTTTCATATTTCTTATTTTTGGCATAACTTCTGTACAAAGCATTTATGGATTTTCCGTTATATAACATTTCAGTCTTATTTTTACTTTTAGAACGCACCCACGAAGTATGGACGGAAAAATGCGGCGCACCCTGTGTGTGTGGGCGTGCGTGTGTGTGTGCGCGTGTTCTACAAGTAAAAATAAGACTGAAATGTATAATATATACAGTTTTTTATAATTGGATCACGCGATCTCAATTTCTTTTTTGAAATGATAGAAAGATTAGTTTACTAGACAATGATTCAAAAATTATTTTAAAAAATTGCAATTTGGTGACATGATAAAAGAATTAAAAAATGACGTTTTACTAACTTTTTCATAACAAAAATTTTAAAAATGCATTTTATAGATTTCGGTGACTTATATGCATGTTGAAAATTTCATCGAAATCGGTTAACCTTGATATGGGTTGTAAGCAATTAAAGATCGCGAAAATCGCAGTTTTTCACGAATTTCAACCAAAAGCAAGTAATTTTTACACCTCCAGTTACTGTAGCATGACCATACATCGACCGATTTTGATAAAATTTTCCGAATGCATTGTTATCGAGATCTACGAAATGCATTTTTTAAATTTTTGTTACAGGCTCAGGTAAAAAAGTTGAAGAAACATAATTTTTTCATTCTTTTATTATGCCAACAAATTGTATTTTTTGAAAATAATTTTTTAGCCCTTGTTTGGCAAACTGATCACTCTAACATCCCCCCAAAAATTTAGACTGCTTTGCCCAATTGTAATCAAGTTATTACGTTTTAAAATGTGTACGAATACTTTCTACACCTACTGTACATATATTATAACAGGCGAAGACCAGTTCCGCTTATCGGTTCTGGCGCCTCGCACCAGCTGATCTCGCCTCTCATTGGTCACTGTTTTTCGTTAATAACTCGTAAACAAAACTGTGGATTGCATTTGCGCTAAGGAAAAACTTACTTCAAATATCTTCAGGAACCCCTCATTTCCTGATCTTAACCTTTTAGGTACGACTGAATTCTGCGCGAGGCTATTTCTCTGGACGGCAGAGTCTGATATGTACTGTACAGAGTCTGATACTGTATATTCTGTCTGTATATATAGGGTGTCCCAAAAATGTCTCGCAATCCGAAAGTGGCGGGTTCCTCAGGCTATTTGAGGCAACTTTTTCCTTTACAAAAATTTTCTCCGAGGCCTCGTTAACGAGTTATTAACGAAAAACAGTGACCAATGAGAGGCGAGCTCAGCTGGCGCGGGGCGATCGAGCCAATGAGCGGAACTGGGCTTCGCGCGCTGGTTGGCTGGGCCGCCTCGCGTCAGCCATACTCGATTCTTATTGGTCACTGTTTTTCGTTAATAACTCGTTAACGGTGCCTCGGAGAAAATTCTTGTAAAGGAAGAAGTTGCTTCAAATGATCCGAGGAACCAGCCATTTCCGGATTGCGAGACATTTTTGGGATACCCTGTCGACTGTTGTAAATCGATGTGAAGACAAAAGAAGTGTGAAACAATGCATATGAAGACGATTATTTGGTTCAAACGATGAGCGAGTGAGCTACTAGAGCAAGCCACTATAGTGACGCGTCGTGCCTAAAAGGTTAAGTAACTTTTGGGATATCCTGTATAAATATGTAGGTCTGGTTTTTGCCTGGGATGGTTGGCCTCGCGAGAGAGATTAGACAGACTTTTATAGAAATAAACTAGAAGAAAATTCTTTGCACGTAACAGCCATACAACGATCTATAAACAATGTCGAAGTTTTTGTTAAATCGATCGAATTAAATGACATTCGATGCGTTGATTTCTGTCTCAGGTGACCTATTACGTCGTGGACAGCAACCGAAACGAGGGATTGAACTACTTCGAGATCGACGAGGAATCCGGCGACATCTACACCAAAGTAGTGTTCGATCGTGAGACACAAGGTGCCTACGCGTTGGAAGTGGAGGCCAGGGATGGTGCAGCATCGGCGCGACCCAACAGCAATGGACAGCCAAATTCAGGTAAGTAATTTCGATTGTTCGACTTCATAATGCCGCTGTGCAGTCTGATCTCAGGACTATGTTGCTTTTATTCAACCTTGAAATTATTTGTAAAAATCAGTAAAAACTTTAACTGGAACGTATCGTGGCTGTTTCCTTGAACAAGTTTCGCTGGTAAATTCAGCTACTTTGTTCGGAAAAGCCAACAGATCCCCAAAATAATATAACAATAAGACAGCAATACAACGACACTGTGAAAGAGCTTCATTTTGTCGAAATGGCAGCAGTTTGACGGTGGACTGCTACATTGAGTGGGTTAGAATCATAGTGGCGTAAGTGACATTTTCGAAAATTATTACTTATTTTAGGACATAAGTAATAATTTTCGAAAATGTCACTTACGCCGCTATGATTCTAACTCACTCAATGTAGCAATACACCGTCAAACTGCTGTTATTTATATTATGTATATATGCTGTTATATATATTATTTATATTATGTATATTCCCGTATTCGCAAAAGTTTCAATCATCATAGAAAAGGAAGCATTTTGAAGAAAAAAACAGCTGTGTGTGTGGTTTGATTCCTAAATACCAACTTTGAATTTTTATAAAGAATTAAATAATTGATATATATCAAAGAGAACGTACGTTACACACACATTGCAGATTACTTTATGCAGAATATCTCCAGGAAATTTGAAGTAAATCGAATGTATGGTTTCAGAGATTTCGTAACGGCCAGGCTGAGAAATGTAGTTTCCAGAAAAACGTAAAAGATATTTTAAGACATCTTTTCCCTTTGATAAAGTAAGATCTTTTAAACTTTGATAACATTCTACGCATTTGAAACTTTAAGAAAACAGAAAGAAATTGATTCTTTTTTAACCATTAAGATGGTGTTCTCCCTTAACCGGGCGGACTCAGGACCCATTCAGACCCACGTTTATAAGATTATAAACAGTCGAACGTCGCCATGCGTCTCGAATTATCTCCTTCCTACACGTTTACCTTTCTTACATACTATTACTCGCAAAATTGAGCGTACATCTCTTAAAACGCGATAACTTCTTTAAAACTCGACTAAGTAACTTGAATTTTGTTTAGATGATAGAGGGACCAGTCTACTAGATGATGACTAAAATGCCTTTTTTTTAAATTTTGCTATTACTTGGGATGACAAAAAAGAAATAACAAGCTCTCGTTTTTTAACATTCTTATCTGAGCCTATAACAAAAATTTAAAAAATGCTTTTCGTAGATCTCGGCCTAGATATGCGTGCTGAAAATTTGATCAAAATCAGTTAACTGATTTCTTCCAGTTTTTGGTCAAAATCATGATAAAACTGCGTTTTTTGCCATCTATAATTTGTTGTAACTCGTACTGCCAATCGATTTCGATACAATTTTAAGCATGCACTTTTTAAATTTCCGTTATGGGCTCAGATAAAAGAGTTAAAAAACGAGAGCTTTTTTATTAGTCCAGTTTTAAAAAAGTTATTCCGTTTTAAAAAGTATACGCACAATTTTGTGGATAACTGTATTTCAGCTAAGGTAAATGTTCCAGTTTCCGCGCCTGTCGCAATTTCCGTGCACCCGGATTAAAAATGTATAGAAAAAGAAAAGTTTTATATATAAATTGATGATCCATATTTTTCTATTATGTTTGAACTTCTTTTTTGTCTAAACCTTTCTTTTTCTATACGTTTTTAATCCTGGGGCACGGAAATTGCGACAGGCACGGAAACGGGGACATCTATCCTACAAAGCAGTAAGAAATATGCTCGTCGTATGGGTCCGATTAGACCCTGAGTCCGCCGTGCGATCATTTCCCAGATGGTTTCCCAGATGTTCATATTGTTGCGAATTACTCCATTTCTCTCGCGTCGCGGCATTTTATTTACAATAAAGAATATTAACTATAACACAACTCGATACAATTATATCTTAGATCTTTCAATTTGAAATGTTGCTCATCCGACGGTCCAATCTCGACTCTTCGATTGTCCGTTGGTAACACTCTTCCGTGGCAACCCCTATCTTCTATTATTCTTTAAGGAGTTGTTCACAACAGGGCAGTTTCACATTACAGCGACTTGATTTGGACAAGTCGCCGTAACAATATGTATAGACATAACGATTGTAAAAGCAACGTGTTTTAAAATGGTTTAAACGACATTCACTCTTTACACAAACGTGGACATTCTTTCGTGTTTTTCCGTCGACATTTCATCAACAGAGTATCCGTACGACGTAACTTTTTCAATTTCCATCACAGAATTTCTTTCGTGAAACTTCTCGTCGAAACCGAAGTAGTCGTCGAAGCTGGACGACATTTGACTTTCTCCGGGTAAAAGGTTACCATTCATGTTTGCTACCTACACATACGTGCTTAACTGAATTATACATTTCTGTTTCATCCTCGAGCTATTTCGCGGATGAAAAAATGTCAAATCCCAAAAGAGGGTATTAAATGAAAGTTAAAGTTAACTACATTTATTTAAGCGCCACACGAATAATTCGCAAATCCTTTTCTAAAAAATATGTATAAAATGTGTACAAAATATGTATAGATATGACATTACTTGGACGTTTCAAAAGCTAATCACAGTGCAAACACATCTTTGTGACAGGTTTTTTCAGCCGTTAAATCAACATAATCGATTTCTTCATAAATAAACAGTACATAGCAGTACTTATATATATATATACGGACCATGAAATGACAAAACGAAATAAAAAATATTGTAAAAGAAATGAAAATAAAAAAACTTGAATAAAATAATTAAATACTATATAAATATAATAATAATAAATACTAAATAATATACTACACTATATTACTACATATACTATAATATACTATAATATATATAAATATTATATAAATAATATATGTTATATATTATTATTATAATATAAATAATAAAAATATATAAATATATAGTATACTATAATATACTATAATTAATATACTATAATTATTAATTAATTAATTGTTTATTTAATTATAATAAAAACTGTGTTTCGCATTATTAGTGACATTGTTATTTTTTACATCGTTATTTTTTTGCTATATATATATAATTCGCAAAAGCCTTATTTACCTCAATTTTAAGGTTAATAGATTGATCAGCTTCTGAGCCTGAAGTAACTTTAAAATCGAGGATTATTGCTCGATCATTTTAACCGAAAGATTGGAGAACATCATTTCAGGAAATGACTTAAACCTGTGGGAAAAATAACTGTAGCGTGACTTTGAGTTACTCGATTTCGGTCAAATGTTCAGCACGCATATAAGAGATCTGCGAAAGGCATTTTTTTTGCAAGCTAAAAAAATAAAAGTTATGAAACGAGAGTTTTTTATTTTTTGTTGTAATTCCAAGTAATAGCAAAATTAAAATGAAGCATTTTAGTCACTGTCACGCTATCATGTAAAGAAAAAATCAAGTCCTTCAATCCTTCTTAGTTTAGTTTTAAAAAATTGATTACGTTCTGAAATGTGTACGAACATTTTGTGGGCTTACTGTAAATCGTTGAAACGTTGAAATGGTTTACAAAATTGTAATCGAAATGCTCACCAGTTGCGTTTTCAGAATTAATTTATGTAAATGTGAACGGAGAGCAAGATTTTGGCTGTCGTTCCAAATGTTAACTAACCAAGAACATATCTATTAATGCTTCCATTTTCTAGTTCTTTCATAATTGCGACTACTATAAAAACGTACAAAATAAATTAATAAATTAATAAATTACAATCTAGCGATTACATTCTGCAAAGTATGATAAAATCTCGTTTCCGTATCGTGGAAATTATTCTGCGGTCGCATAAAACTCAGCCGGATCGATTGAATCTGTTGCAAATAAACGACGCTGTTACCGCGACCTGTTTTAGCATTCCGTTCCTGGTTGTAAATTTATCGGTCCACCGTAATACAGTATTCAGTTCCTTCGGTGACGCTGTACTTGCCCGGTTCACATAGAATTTTCAATCGCGCATGTCATTTACGGGGGAAATTATCCGCACGTGTGCTTAAGGAGCGAGCCAATTGGTCACGATTCCCAAACTTTTCTTGGAGAACAACATCCGTGTGTAATCCGCAGTGCGAACCGATTGTTTGGATGTTTCGCGCTAAATCGGCCGTATAATTTCGAAGTTGTAATTTCCCGTAACTCGCATTTGCCACTAATTAGAGTTGCGAGAGTTGAGCCGCGTAATTCTAAACCCAATGGAAAATTCGTAAACGAAACTCTACGAATATTATCATCATTAGGTCGACAATATTTACACGTATTCCCGTATTTCAGCATCAAGTAATGTTCCAAATTTCTGTATTCCACAAACAGCCGTAGTCCATCGTGTTGATATAACATGATCCATCGCGTTCGATGATGTAAAATATTATATTATCTTACTTATGCATGAATGGGTTTTATCTGATGCAAAATTAAGTTACAAATTACTACGTAGTTTTTTGTTACTAAAAGTCCGAAGTCCGGTGGCGGATAATTTGTGGAGTAGGTAAATGAATTTGTTTCGAGAGAAATAATTAGTGGAACGTCGCGAGCGGGAATCGAACTCGAGGCCCTCCCCCGATTCGGTTGGCACGACCCAGTTTCCGCGACCACGGTCTTCTACTTCGTGGGGAAGTTAAAATTTGGTATTTATAGAATACTTTACAATTCATTCAAAACCCCTTACACTTCCGCGTCTCACAGTTTCAATTACATGTTACCCGCTGCTACCCCCACTCATCCCGCCAAGACTGTTTGAAACCAGTGGTGGTATGTACAGTAATTTATCCCTAATTCGTGTTCAGATTGCGCACAAAAATGAACAATTTGAGAACAGGAGATACGATTATTTCAGCCTTGCGCCTCATTTTTATAATTACCCATTACACTGTCCGACACGATTTTTGAGTTCCAATAGCCACTATGAAATTCTTGTAGAGCTTCACTCCCCGAACAAGAATCCGAAAACCCTCAGTTTATTAAATAAACGAACTTTTGTGAAAACCC